TAGCGTAAATAAGGCGAAGGGAATACCCGTCTAATTTTATTTGACTGTTGAATGCGGTAGCTGCTCGTTTAGTTCGTACGAGGTCGCCACGTATGCAAGGGTCGGTCTTAGACTTGAGAGTGGAAGTGTTTTGTGTCAATATAATGCGAGCTGAGTTGCTTGAGATGCCATCGTATTAAATATACTTTGTTCTCGTTTGCGAGGGGAATGTTTAAACACGCGATGACTGATAAAGTGCCAGGCATGTTAATTTGAATCAAAACGAAATTGGGAATTTCTAAATTACATATATATATACTCCTCTATTGTTTCATAAATAAATATGATAAGAAACCTTGCGCAGGGAATCACAGTTACATTTTCTTAATACTTAGTCCTGTAGATAAACTGAAACACACCACTTGACAAAGTCGATGTGCATGCCCCAGCGGCCGATGTGCATGCCCCAGCGGCCGCAGTTTCAGGGCAATTATAAGTGTCTCAGCAGCTCTGCGAGCGGCGGCTTCATTTAAGAGTCGCGCTGCGGGATACGAGATAAATCTTGAAGTTCCGACTGCGTCCCTTCTGCACAATTGACTTTTAGCAGCCGTACACGCGCGACCTCTGCGAGTTATTTATAAGCCTGGTGCTCAGGTGTCCGTTGAATGCACCCGTAGGAGTCGCTCTAGAGTGGATCTTTGCCATTTGAGTTACAAGATGTAGTGTCATTAGGTGGTCGGGACCGATTGATGTAGAATTTTCTCATGTATTTCATATGGAAGGTCAAGCGGCACTATTTTACACAGCCAGAGTTGAAATACAGTGCCATTTAGTTTATTTCCTGCATGCAAGTGAAATTCTTGAATATACTTATAATAGAATATTTATTATATTGACATATAATAGAATATTTTTGCAATCGTGGGACAGGAATGTGTTTTTATATCATATAGACTGACCTCTATTTAGTTCTGTTTCAGTCGACAAAATTAAAAGAAGGAAATGATACTGCATGGGACTTGTAAACCTTTAGCAGTAGTTGGTGAAGTTCCCAATTCCCTCGATAAGCAGAATCTGTGTCGTTTTGGCCTAATTTTAAAATTTCTTTTCAAAACCCTCACGAGCAGAGCCTAGCGGTTACCAGGTCAAAAGCGCAGCATTTCTCACGCAGGGCAGTGACACCTATCCTCTGTAAACACGAAAACTCGTTTGCGTTTTACGTCGCGTTTGAATCGCATGAAGTGCGTGATGTTCTCAATCACGAAATCAGACTTGCGCATCTTTAGTTATAGGCATAATTTAGTGGATGCGGTGCACTGTTTAAATTTGTACAGAAGTCGTACTGGTTATGAAGATAGCTCTGATCTTTTTTGTTTGTAAATGATTACAGATTAAGTGCGACAGTGTCATTAGAGGTTTACTGCAGGATTTCCATAACAAAATGCTGGCATTATTATTGTAGGTGTAACACGAATTATTTAATTTCAAATAAGTTCTATACATTGCTGCTGGTCCTGCAGCATTCATGTTAGATTCATATTACATGGTAATCTGTGCCGCTCTATTATGAGCATATTGCATGAGAATTGGTACGTTTATATATCATGATAATCTGTGCTACATTACCAAGGTTGCATTGCAGATGAATTGCCTCGATTTTATTTATGTTTTATTGAACGTTGACCTGGGCTAAATTATAAACGACATATTGTAGGGTATTAGTCAAGCAATTATATGAATTTCAAACGCATGCATATATAATAGAACACGATTTAACAAGCAAGTACGTTTTCAAAATTTATCGTCGACGAGGTACCAAATGCATTAACCCAACTAAAACATCAATCGAAAATCGTTGAGGCATCGAGGATTTCTTATTTCTTTCTACATGAGCTCTGAGCCTTATAATATATGTGATCAACTAATTATTTTAAATTATTCTTCAAATTTCGATGACTGATATTTGTATATATCAAATTCGTTCATTGAACGCCCAATTTATACCGCTGGGGTATGACAGTTTTTGCGGGGATGGCTACGCACGAACCTTGCTTGGTGAACTGATTGCTCATATAGGTCAAACTTAAATTAGCACACGGTGTCTAGCACCGGTGACGAAAATGCCATTTTTGATTAATTTATGGAGTTTTCATAGAAAACATACATTTCAGTTTGGTAATGATTTTTTCTTGTTTCTGTCTTATCAAAAAACCGTAAAATTCTACAGTGAGGATAACTTCCAAGCACAGATATTTTTTACTAAATAAATTTTTGTTCTATATCCTAAACTATAACTTATAGAGGCAAACCTCTCTGAGTTTCAAAGAGGCGAAATCGTTCGTGCCTGTATGCATGGCAGGTGCTATCGTGACAGAAACTTCCCGAATGCTTGACGTTTTTAGAGGTACTGGTCTCAAAACTAATTTCTACATTTGAAACAAATGGAATAACGTTCTCAGCAAACCACAGGCGTGGCTGAAAGAATAAGTTATCTGAGAGAGACCGTCTGTACCTACATATATCGAATTGCGAGGGACAATCGAAAGACCGCGGCTGTTGAAATTACTGCAGACCTCAATGAACACCTNCGTGCGTTATTCTCACTGATCCATATTCATAGCATCGCAAATCATTCTGAATTCTACGAAGAAGCTTCACAAACGAAGACTCTGTCCTCTTCACTGTAGTGCACATCCGTAGTATATGTACCAAGAAGAACTCAGGCGACGTCAAAGAATATCGCGACGGTAACCTGCACGAAAACTAGGAGGCTGACTCCAAGATTTATGTCTGACAGAGGACTCGGTTTAGCTCCTGAGTAAACTCTGACCAAACGAATTCTTCAACAAACACAAGAGCTGAAATAGACGCCCAAGAGATGCTCATGTGTGACCGCAACGTTCTGCATTCTCATGTCACAGCGAACGGGAGGAACCTTATGATTGTTTGCTTCATTTCATAACAGATTCAGGAGCATTCGACAGCAAATTCGAGCTTGCCACTAAAAACAAAAGTTCTAGTTCATTAGGGACGAGCTTCATATAAGTACCTGCAATCCTGCATGATATGAATTTTCTATTAAGTAAGAAATGCTAAATTTATAATTATAAATCCCCTCAAAATTTAGAATTCACTCAAATTCAGAACTACATTAAATTTAGAAATCTTTCAAATTTATGTAGGATAAACGTCTTTTTGAAATTTTCTTTACATCGACCCATATATAATGACACAAAATATTGAATACATAAATGGGAAGTTCGGCGTAGCGCAAACGCAATAATCCATTCAGCGTAGCGATAGCGCAATAATCCTTTCAGCGAAGCACTTGGGCAATAATTATAATCCGTTCAGCGTAGCACTGACGAAAAATCGGCTCACCGTAGCACTGAGGCAATAATCCTTTCAGCATAGAGATAAAGCAATAAACCGTTAATCGTAGTTCAAACGCTTCCATTCGTTCTGTGTAACACTTCAATATTACATTTACCCGAAGTCTTGGCAAAAATTTACAGAGCCTCGATTAAACTTGCCGAACCATGTTACTTAAAAGTTTCTTTTAAGCGTAAGAACTCGCAATGAACACCCAACAAGCTCGCAATTATTATGTGAAGAAAGAAAATTTCATACACAAGCACTGCAGTTTTGACCGTGAATTATGATATCTAACTTAAGAGCTGAAATACAAATGTTTCTGACACACTCCTCGCATGATCTTTCTTCTACGGCTTGATGTTCACAGAGCCCGTCGACAGCCCGTCGAATCTCCGAGACAATCATAATTGCAAAGGGTCGAAGGTCTGTTTTTCGGGTCTCGTACACTCTGCGTAGGATCTTCCCGTGCGTGAAATATGCTTCAACTGGCCACGTAAACTTACAGCAACGATAGTTCACGTCTAACGCTGACAGGAATTTTCATCAGTATATCTCGGTTCGTGGAGTTTCCTCATATAAAGCTGACACGAACCTTCTACACATTGGTAAGAGACGGTGAAAGCGCCGTCGATGAAGTCTTGAGGTCGTGGGTTTTTTTACGCGTTGAATGTCCGTATAGAAAAGGATTGTCGTTCTACTTAAGACACCGCGTCTGTGTTATGTTCTTAAATTAGACTGTCGAGATCATTAGTGATTAATTCGGTACCGTCAAAAATACTATGTATAAAGAGTAATGGTTCGTTTGAACTCTGCTGTCTTTAATAATAATGCAACGGATAAAGAGAAGAGGTTTGCACCGTGCTTTTCTTGACAATAACCTATGAAAAAACTTACTTAAAGTATGCTTTTGTGTTCGCCTTGAAGACATTTGTGTCCTCAGTTGTAGGTACGCTCGTTGTTTTGCACCCCATGTTCGGTTTTTGAAAAAGAGAAGAATGTTTGAAACTTTAAAAGAAACTTTTAATTTATTTTTAAAAATTTCTCCTTGTGTTTAAAGGACACGAAAATTATGTAAAAAGTTTATCACAAGCAACGTAAATAGTAGGACCGACAATAATGATACTGTGTTGATGGCGAATGATGAATCATAAGACCTAGAACACATGAAAAAACTGACAGCAATAAATAAATTAATAGATGTTAGCAATGATCACTTACCTGTATATTTTTCATGCGAATAAACCATAGATTATTTGGACCATAAGTGGTCTTTTTTTAGACGGGGGGAAGATGAGGGATCATTGCAATAAATAAAAAAATAGCATGCATGAGCGACAAAACACTTTCATGACAAGTTCTTGTAATTGTCATAGATCAAGTGTCAGTGGATTTAATCTTGAAATTGAAAAGCGGATGTTAAATGTATTGTTCGAACGCTCACTATATACTGGTCTTATTTGATGTCGGCAAAATTGATTCTAAAATTTGAAATCTCAGGATTTTGGAATGAGGCTAGTCCCTAATTATTTTTGCTAAGAGGTCAGCGTATCCCCATGTCTGGAAACACTAAAATATTTTAAGTTTTGTCCTTGTATGTACATTACCATGTAATTATCTGATTATTAACGATTTTTATTCTTTCGTAGCGTTGCTGAACATCCGAAACTTCGGCGGGACACACGCGGCCACCGTTGTGCAGAGCATGTCCCTGGGCCTCTTCCTATGCATCGACAGAAGCGGACATCTCTACGCCACCGTAAGATTTTCTGCTTTAGTTTCTTAAGGAGATATATGAAATAATCACAGTAACACTCGCTATATGACTTTACTTAATGAGATATGCTAAATGATTAAAGTAACACTTTATGATCTCATGGCGGCAAATAAAAGTAACACTTTATGGCGACACCGTATAAAGTATCGGTAATGGAAAGCTGACGTGATGTTCAGTAAATTTGAACGAAGACGCTAGCCAGAGGGGATGCTGATTTAAAGTTATACAGCCAAGATGTCCTGGTGTTGTGTACAACCAAGTGAACAATAATAATCGAACGAACGCGATTTATTTTCTCGAATCAAGGTAATTTGTACATTGATTAGTGCTATTCTGTTGAATCCATTCGTAGAATTTGATTTTAGGGGACTATAAAAAGTATCCTAAAGATCTTTATTTGTGAGGATAGTCTTTAAAAAATACTTTTGACAGTTTATTCTAGTGATTTAATAATTAGAAGCTAGATATTACCAAAGATATAAGTATCAATCGTGTTCGTGGTACGGGTTTCATTGAATACAATTTTCTATTGTTAGCAAACAATAAATTTTATTAAAACAGCTCTGTCAATCAATGTTTAATCAAGAAGCTTCTCCTGTTATTGAGAAAAATTGTTTAATGTGATACTTGACGTGATTTATTGCATAATCAATCTTTTCTTTTAACTTCACCTACTAAAATGAATTAATTCTTTGCATTCAAGCCACTCCACGAACGGGCTATTCAAATCCATGAATTATTTTCAAAATAATCACGTGAAATTTTTTACAGTGCAACTACAACCGAGAATGCGAGTTTCTGTACAACTTCGAAGATACGAACTACAACTCTCTGCAGAGCTACATCTACAGGAGGTTGTTCATCACGGTGTCCCAGCGTGGCACCATTAGGAGGTCGAAGCCTCACCAAGGACCTTTGGGCATGAATCAGAGTTTCTTGCCACTTTCCATCCCCGAAACGAAAGCCCGCGAAGTTTTATCGATTTTCTATAAAGAAAACCCGACTGAATTGCAGCATTGTGCCGACTACCGAGGCTTTGTGCCGAGCAATGCAGTTAAGCCATTAACTATCACACCAACACCTCGGATTCGGCACAAGAAAAGAAAACGAATCAACGTGCCTCAGAACACTACAGGTCAAGTGCGACTTCCAAACCATCCTCTGGGTCACGGAACAACAAGTGTATATCACATCAGAGGTCGACAGCAACCAACCGAGCTGCCTCCATTGAATAGACATAGACACCCGCTCCCGGGTTATGCTAACGTTATCACATCTACAACTCCACCTTTGTACAGCGTCAAAATTTCCACCACTACCATTAGTCCTTCTACAACCGACTCTTCTTCGCCTCGCAGGAAGAAGAAAAGGTGCAAAACTGTTGAATGTAGAAGAAAACGACGGAAAAAGAGAAAGGAGAAGATAAGACAAGCTTATAGGAGTTGCATGAGCTTAGAGCAAGATAGACGAAGGAAGTGTGTGTTAACACAACGTAAAAAGTTCATAAGAAGGAAACACAGGTTAAATGTTCATCCGCATCTAAGAACGACGACTCCTGAGCCTTCAGTAAACATACCTACTACAATAACCCCATCCTTAGTAGAACTTCCTCCCACAACCCCACATAGTAGAGCCCCCTCGCCTAATCTATTAAGAAATGAGGTGGTGTCTTTTCATCGCAATAATGACTTGTTTCCACCGAACAGTTTTAGCCTGTCCTTCAGCAACCGAAGTCAAGGGCGACCTTCTGCTTCATCGAACGGTCAACAGCCCTTTCATAGGACGCCCTCGTGGTCCCCTGCTCAGCCCCGGACGCCCTCAGGAGGAGGCAGAAGAGTCCCAGCGCCTCGGAGGAGACTGGTGGCTCGAACGCGAGTCCTCGAAGGGCCTAAAGCGCGGCAGTACGAAAACAAATCCGAGCGGCACAAACGACTACGGGGGCGGAATCTCCAACAAAATCAAATTCAATGATGATGCAGATGACATATCCTCGCAAGTTTCAGAGGACCCGGATAACGCGAACACTCAATTCGTATCTGAAAGCCATGATCGAGCTGATAGCATGGACGCTTACGAGGACATCGTTTCAATCGACCTTAGTGAGTACACTACTGTTCATCATGACGAAGATGTTCGTAGTAAAAATAGGATCAAATATTCAAGGTATACGTGCGTAGCGATCATTCTTTTTGGTTTAATTCCTGCAGTATTAAAATGTATTAAATTTAGCTTGCTACAAAGAGTTGTTCGGTGTTTTTGCCTAACTTTCTGCAAGAATCTCAAATCTAACCAAAAGTCTTTAAGTACCTGTGAGGCTGAAGCTGCGATTGAACTCAACACGCTTAATCCTAGTGACGTCGATGCACCGGAATTTAGCGCAGGGTCTCTGCCGATGATCATGAGAGCTCGGTCATCCAGTTCTTCTTCTGGATTTTCTTCTGAGAACGAAGAATTCGGCCGAGCTCTGTTGTCAAGGCTTTCCGTCGCTCCTTCAGAAGACGCACCAGACATCCCAGCGATGGCGACACTTAGGGGAACATTTTACACAAACGACGACGACCTGCATGGCGGCGGTGAGTCTGCGAACTCTTCGAACCACGATTCGTCTTGCATCGTGGTGGTTGAAGTACATTAGGTTCCAATGGAGGAGACGTGCAGCCTGGGCCTCGAATAAAATATGATTCTGTGTTTTAACCGCAGGTTTTATGTAAGTCTTTTAATTTGTGTTTGACCTCCAGACATCAGTCATGTCTTTTGAAATCTTTGTTACCTAATGATTACGCTCGTTATCAGAATGTGCCATATGCTATCTAAATATGTGTAGTTTCTTTTGAACTGTTATCAGCAAAAGATGGAGTCCGTAGGGCCAGTCGTGAATGAATGGCGTTGCTCATTAGCTTGTTAAGTGTATTGCAATGGTTGCTTTGCACCAATTTAGAATCTGACATGCATGCGTAGACTGCGTGACACGCGTGCGGCAACTGCGTTGTACGTGCGGTGACTGCGTAAGTAGCGTAACGTGAGACTCGGTGCACATTGTGTCTCTTGAATCATCACGCGTTCTAGACCTCGCGCCCAGAGTAACTATAGAATTGAATTTTAAATCTACATCTTGTACTAAACCTTCATTCCAAACTCTTCTTCTCATACATTTCATGTGATGACATTTACTTCTCAGACCGGTGATGTGCAAATTATCTAAGGAAATCATATACCGTGGATAAATAGCTTGAATCTTTTACCGGGGACGGAATTTTTTTTATATCGCCGCAACAGAATTATCTATTTTATCTGCCTACGACTTGGTTGATTTTTAAATGAATTGTTTCAGTTTCAGCTGAATTTTGTGCTTTCAATTCCATTGGTTGTGAATTTATGTCGTTGAGTTTTATGCGAATGTTCTGTCTTTATTTGAAGACTAGAAAGGTTCGTGCAGAAGCAAGCTACGAGATGCCTCGGTCGGTTAGCTAGGAGCAAGCGTTGACACGAGTAACTCCCGCTGGCGGTGAATACGTTAGTCAATGATCGTTAACAGATTTTCCGTTATGAAAGTAACGGTGAGTGACTTGTAAAATGAAGAATTCGATTCTATATTAATTTATGCTAGAGCATCTACAATTATTTCAGCATTGCTAAAGCACCATTTGATTTTCATTTCAAGTTCAGCGTTCGAACACTTTCATTGTGAATTGTCTTTGCTGTGCTTCGCGCTGTCAACAAGCTTCAGACTTTCTATGGTGCAGGGTTGCGAGCGCGATTTCAACTTATTAGGCTATTACTTACTAATCGATGATTTTTGTTATGCCAAACATTTATTAGTTTACGAGAAAAAAATTCAATTCAGATTATTGTTCAAAATGTTGTAATTCAATGTTCTGAGAATGAATGTTAGTATACGGAAAATAGAAGAATAAATTAACATGTATAAGAAACCATTGTAATGAAGCTGTTAATGTAAGGTTATTTTAGTGTAAATAAACACTTGTACAGTTGTAGGTGTAATTATATTATATTTTATGTTTTGTTTTGCAGCTATAACGAAGACTTCGTCGAAAATTCTTCTTGTATCGCAAATTAGTTCGAGATAACCACAGATTAACGTAAATCAAAGGAATGTTCAACGACGTTAAACAAATAATTTGCTGCATTTTGGGAACATGCAAGAACCTAATGCAAGTACGTCATAATATATTCAATTATGCATATTTTTAGTTCGATTAACGATACCTCTAAAATTTGCATTTCTTCGTGCCTTGCCCATGAGTTGCAAAAGTTTTTTGGTGTAATCTTTCGTGGCAATAATATTTTTCTACTCACGAATCACGACTCATATCAGCATTTTTGCCATCTCATTCCAAAATAAAAACTTTTAAATCACAAGGTACGAAAATATGCAGATTTTTCATACAATCTATGATTAATACGCCCCACCAAAAAGCCTCGAGATGCTACCGTCAAGCTAGCTTAGCACGTTCCTTTAACCAATTGCAGCATAATTATCTTCTAATAACTTCGTTCTATTGAGCTAAATCCGTTAATTCGAGTTTGTTGAATACGTGAAAATTACTGGGAAACTTCCCGACTGGTTTGATATAATGCGCTGTTGTTTTCAGGTGCAAACGTTTGAAAGCTTGTTCTAGACCTGACCTTGCTCTACTCTTGAGTCTGCTGTCACTGCAACTGAGACGTGTTCAGTTGCACATGAGCTGAGACATGTTCAGTTGCGCATGACGAGTTGAGACGTCTTACTATCCGCTTTTGGTCGCATACACCAAAATGGTTTTTATGTCCCAATAAGCTGGTTCTTGTATGCCACCATGATTTAAGCTAGTACAAATTTTGTTGGATAGCGTTCGATGACCTGAAATATTCTCCTTGTTGACGAAGTTTTTACTCATTTTCCGTGTTATCTGTACACTTGTTAGTATTAACTATTTAAACCTGCAATTAATTGGACTTGAATGTGCGGGTTTGGTTGGGCAGAAGTGAGGCTTTCTTGATTTTGAAAAGTTAATATGTCTGTTGTATGGACGCCAGCTCGACGTCGAAATTCATCGACGGTGCGAAATCTCTAATGACGAAATCGCAAGCGGAAGAATAATTATTGCGCTAGTTTGAGACCGTCCTCAATCACGAGTTTGAAGTCCCTCTCTATCATTTTTATGATTTTTGTTGAATTCTATGCAAAAATTAATTTCTAGATGAATTTCAACCTGCAGTGTGGTTTGCGTGGGGGGCAGTGGTGGGGTGGGTGCGAGATTAATGATCAGACATACAGTGTTTGGCAAGCTTTTTACTAGCTCAAATGCTGAGTGTTTAAGAATTGTACTTCAAACCGGAGCGATCAAGTAATTATACTTACGCCCAATCATATTCTTCAATACATGCGGATTTTCACCATCCAAGTTCTGATTATAACCCATCACTACTCGCTCTTTACAGCTTGATTGGCTCCTTCTATCCTAGGTATTCATTCTGCTTCAATCGATTTCTTAGCCCCTATGAACTCGTTGTCGACCGTGGTCCCTACTGGAGACCAAAGACACTCACACCTCCTAATGGAAACGTTGGCAATCGCATCGCACAAGGCCAAAAGGCAACCGGATCACTTGTTCAAGACAATCAGCAGTCGCTCCCTATTTGCATAATCGCGCAAAAATCAAACCTATTCGCTGGAGTTTGCAAAAAAAGGTCACACAGCATCGGCCCTTCAAGGCCTCGTTGGCAGTTCTTACCATTGAGCATCGATACTGCCAACGCAGTAACGGAATTTCGGAAACCTGGGGTTCGTTTTGATCAGATGAGTGGAATATTTTGGGTTGGCTCCGATGCGAGTCGGAGTCAGCGATGCATGGTGAGATCGAAGCTCCGAAATATTCTAATTGCCCTCCCGCTCTAGTCAAGGCGCCTTTGCAGCCCCGTGTAGATCATAGAGAGCTTCGTCACGATACTGCAAGAAATAAATATTTTATATCGTATTTAATCCTTGCATTATTTCTAGTCAAGGCGCCTTTGCAGCCCCGTGTAGATCATAGAGAGCTTCGTCACGATACTGCAAGAAATAAATATTTTATATCGTATTTAATCCTTGGAATATTTTGGGTTGGCTCCGATGCGAGTCGGAGTCAGCGATGCATGGTGAGATCGAAGCTCCGAAATATTCTGATTGCCCTCCCGCTCTAGTCAAGGCGCCTTTGCAGCCCCGTGTAGATCATAGAGAGCTTCGTCACGATACTGCAAGAAATAAATATTTTATATCGTATTTAATCCTTGCATTATTCTCCTTGTCCAATAAAGCCTTCGACGGACTTTGTGGCCACAAAAGATCTAGAGTTGTTTAGAGCCAACTCGCTGTCAACTGAATCAATTCATGACAAAAGGTTTATGAAAACAAAAAATGCATACGAGCTTTACAAGGTAAAGCAAAAATTGCTTCGTAGTTCAGTTCAATTATTACTTTCGTTCGAGAACTCGAAATGAAAACATCATTACATAGCCAAATAAAGTCTCGAAATGTTGTCAAGTAGACCACATTGTTCTGCACCACAACACGGGACAAAATGAACGGGGATAACGTTACAGGCAACATGTACTTGACACAAAATTTTATTTGAAACACGTATATACGTATTTTTCGCGACGACAAAGTTTCCCTAATAGTAACAGATTGTACATCGCGGCCGAATTTGTTGATTGAAAATAATAATAACAAGTACTAATAGGTGGGCAAACAATGAAGAAACACAGTTGAGTCCTCCATTACTATTTCTATAACATTGCTTCTATCTCTACACCATCCACAGGCTAAACACAGCGTCTACGCGAGCTAAATCTTATTAATACCGCGACACATGAAACTTAATGTTAATAAACAATTAGCAAAGCAAATCTATGTAGTGAATTAGAAATTGCAATTGAAAGAAATTCGACCGCAATAAGTGCGAATCAAAATGTTCCAATAACCTAATATTTAAAGAACGAGCTCATGAAATCAGTACCTGCACGAGGAAGCAAAGCACGTTTCCCTACACTGATATTATTCCACCACAACCTTAATCGCTCTGAAAATCATCTTCTGGTGAGAACTTTGTAACTACGAAGCAGCGAATATGACGCGACAAAGGTCAATCATATAGTACTGGGCAGCGATACCTGTGGGTTTCAAATATCGATTTACATTGCGTACGAACATAAATGAAAGGTTTACAATGTACAAATAGTAACATTCTCATCTATAGCACAAGCAGAGCGCACACATAGCTCATATATATAAATAAACGTGCTTTTGCCGGGCCAAACTGGGTCAGAATGACCTACACAAGAAGGTAAGTGCACAGCTATTTAAAATGCATTACCGGTATTACAAACAAAAGTCTGACTTATTTCTATGAGTGCAGGTATCACCAACATATGGAAGTTGAAAAAGAAATTATTCCAGTTGTCGAATTCTTCCACGAAGAACTTAGATTTTGTAGAGGCATTTCATGTTCGAAAAGAGACTGAGAGGTAAGTAGGAAGGAGCCTGGCGATGACAACTCGAGGCTAGGGGCTCGTCAAATGGCCGGCACTGAAATATGAACTCTGTTGTAGCTGAAGAAATACGGCCAGCCGATGCCTTTATACAAACTCTGCATTTGTTCACAATCATGACCATACTGTCGGACAGGAATGACCACTCAACGATCATGTAATTACTGCGGTGATTCGAACAGAATACCTTTATTTTATAGCGGCGATCGTTCCTTACTAAATGAAATTTGGGATGAATAGTCAAAAGGTTGAAACTAATTCACAACCCGTTGAACAAGAACTCAAGTCGACACAAATCCTGCTATGCAACGACGCAGTTGGACGTTGGAAGGGAGAAAAGGTGAAAGTAGAAGGAATAGATGCAAGAGGACGCGAGAAAACATAAACGTGAATATGAATTGAAGATTTGATTGTGAATGTTAAAACGAAATTAAATATGACCTACAAATCCTAGCAGTTTCGAGTGTACACAGTGGAAGACTGGCTCGAGAGTAGCCGTGCAAATAAATGAAAAAATCGTTAAAAGAAGCTGACAAGCGTTCAATGCGAATGAGGTAAAACTAAGTTATAATAATTAGCTTCGTGAAATATACACGAGCATCGAAGAAATGTATGGTTAGGATATTGGTCTAATCATAATTAAATTTAAAAAATTACAACGATCTCGCCTACGATCTATACAACGTTCACGCCAATATCTCAGCCATTTATTAAAGAAAAGACCTTAATGTTTCACCAGCAGAAGCCCACAACAAAACCGAAAATGACGTCAGAGTTCGGCGCTATAATATTCTCGACAGGTCACTAAAGATCAAATTTCAAGCGATCAAGAGGCCGTGGTAACTTCAACATCAAGCGATCAAGAGACTGACAGCAATGCCAATGAGATGAGCGATCAATGAGACTGACAATGCGCTCTGACAGCAATGCCACATCTGCGACCAAACAGTTCAATCCTCGTATTCAACCTGACTATTATGTGGAAATAAATATACACGAATGACCAGGAAGTATGAATATGGTAAATTAAAAAACACAATGAAAAGTATAGAAGACAAATATATGCACAATCGTACCACCAGAATATACACAGTACAAGGAGATCACTACCATAGGTTAGTTACATTATAAGCAATATTACTTCACTAGCTTGGTAGCATAGAGGCGAGCGAGAATAGAACGGCGAATTTCCCCTCACTGTTCAGCTGCTTCAATATTACGCGTGAATATTGCGATAAATGTGATGCTAGTGCGCAAGACAATCATCTGATGTGCACCCTTGGTGACATGAATCCGTTAAATATTTCAAACAATCCCATGAATAAGCCCAGACGTCGCTATAGTCATGCACTTACTACTATCACATGCACAAATATCCATACAATTTAGATGTATGATACGATTTTCTTCTACTCTCACAGACAGATAAATATAGGAAAAATAGTCATTTTGAAGAGTAATCAGCCAGTGATATGCCGTCGCAGTCTATGTACAATAATAGAGTATTCACTTCTTACCAACCAGCGCCGTGATACACGAGAATAATTCGGTGGTACCTACCACATAACCTTCATTAAATTCCAGCAGTTAAATAATAGGTACCATATTTATTCTAATACCTTTCATAGATTACAACAAAATCTGTACATTAGAACATTTAATCTAATTATCACCAATCATACGCAATGCATTAGGACCATAAATGTCAAGCTTAGTTCATCATCAACGTTCGTTCAGCAAGCCTTTAGAAATAGGGAGAAGTCGTATTGTCACTTAGACGTAATTAATTGACAAACGAACTAACAACTCGCAGCGAACAGCAATCAACCAGCACAAAAAGTCGGCGCATTTCATTGAAACTAAATCGGAAGCCGAGCAAAAATTTCTCAGTGTAATATATTTACATTTTAGAACACAGATCACAACCAGCAGATAGATCACTATTTACACTCACTTAACAGGATCCTATTTGTAAATACCGCAAGAGTTCTATCAGTAGAGCTCGTGAATAGATTCAATTATTTCAAGATCCGTATAGTTACTACAGCGGAGATTTCAGGATAGAATGAAATAAAATATTTATCATAGCTAAATCTTAATTTTGATGAAGAAATATCATCAAAGATGATGAGAATTTTCGTGATTGGAACGGAACGATCAAATGAGGAGGAAACAATGCTGCATAAAAACTATGAAAAGGCGAGCATGAATGTGAGCAGAAGGCAACTTAACAAGAAATATGAAAGCATAAAAATAGTATTCTATTCCTACCGGGCTTTAATATTATTCCTTTCTTAATCGCCTATTCAAATAGTTTAAGAAATTGTATGCATGTTAGAGAACTGCAGGGCTCGTGCCGACTAAAGAATATGGTAAGAACTGTGACATGTCCGCAACAANAGAAATTGTAAGCATGTTAGAGAACTGCAGGTCTCGTGCCGACTAAAGAATATGGTAAGAACTGTGACATGACCGCAACAACACCTCAGAAGTAGTAGAAATAGAAGCAGTAGTAGAATGGTTTGCCAGTGCTTCATCTACCCAACTATTTCGCACCAGAGGTCAAAATTAACATTGCCAGCCTTGGTATCCTTGGTATTAGTTTCGGACGTTGCAGTCCCAGGCCACGACGGATCGCCGCCTCTGATTATTATCGTTCATCCCGCAAGACACAAGGTCTCAATTATTGAATTTCTCGTATCACTCATCACCCTCAAGAGGCGAGAGGTATCAAATTGCTGAAACTGGTTCGAAAGAAGCAGCGTTAGCATCTCAAAGAGACGAAGTGACAAGAAGGGTCAGGTGAACAGCAACCGAAAGAACAGCAACAGAAACTAAGACACTCGAACAAGAGGTCGCTTACACGGAACGTCGGCCGCCCGCACGAGAGAGACAGAAAAGGGAAATGTAAGGAATCCTACCTACATAATAACATGTAAGGAATCCTACCTACATAATAACATGTAAGGAATCCTACCTACATAATAACTTAACCCCACAATTGAGACCAACGGTCAGACACTCAGCAGTGGGGCGCTAACGAGCAATGCATATAGGAGCGCGAAATCCCACAGGACTTCTGAAGAGCACGCACAGACACGTGTCAGGAGTCACCGCCAGAGGGGGGACACCTTATAACTGTGGCCGAAATAACACAAGACAGTGGATGCAATAACACAGAACAGTGGCTGCAAGAGAACAATACAGCCGGAAGAACAATGACCGGAACAACAGATCTAAGGCTCACAGAAAACAACGTCACGCAAGCGAAATCGACCTTCAGATCCCGAAGACAATTTTCGAGAATACAAGACAGCAACGATGATGCAAGTGTGTTTTCACAAGTGTGTCGGTACATTTAATTATATTTTATTGAATATTAGGAGTATATACACTCATAACAAAACTGTTTAGAGTCCATGGTAAGAAAATAAATTACGTGTATAATTATAGGAACAAGTCAAATAACATAAAAAATATACTCCACTAAACAATATTCGCGTACTATTAAAAAAAGTGGAAGCCTCCAGAAATACAACACATCTGAGCCGAGAGCGAATGTTAGAAATGAAGGACCGATGGGAAAATTAACATTTTGCCCCCCATAATATCAAGAGACAAAAGTATTGTGGACAACGCAAAAAAACTAAGTATTCACCTGAAGTGCAGAGCAAGATGTAATGCAACTGATAAGTTAAGTTCCTTACAATATCCTTGCATAAAAACCATGTTAAGGAGAAACGTCTAGTCACACATACAAACTAGGAGAGCACTCATTAGTCGGCTAACGTAAGCCGAAAGACGGCTGAAAAAGTCCATCTCTTCAAGAAGATGAACGAGTTGACGGAATTAACCAATTGAATGTCACCGTCACCACACAATTTTGTGACGATTTCTTTAGATCTCTACAGTTGATTCCAAATCAATGACCACAATAGGCTCGTTGAGAAGAAAGAATACTCGATTCTTAACTTAGGAATAACATATGAAAGCAAATCCCTAGAATTTGGAAGCCCAACAAACTCAAACCATTGCTCACCGCAATAGTTTTGCATAAGATTTAGGATGCCTTCTTTCTTGCTACAAGAAACAATTCATTCATATATGTTAGAAGAGAAGTCAATACAATTTATTATTTGATTAGCATTTCCATTTCCAAACGACAGGTTAAGTTATGGATACCAGAGATATCTGCTAAAAGGACATTATTTCTTGGAGATCGAAAATTCGAGTGAAGTTGATTGGAATACCTAATGGGCGTTTGTGACGCACGTAAGCAATTTGTCTATTAATAAGACATTAAAATGCACCAAAGTATCTCGCAAATTCTTCTATAGAAAAGACAAGAATTCATTGCAAGCTTTCAAAAGTCAAAAGTAACCTGAACCTAAACAATGGAGTTCCATGTTCAGAGTCTGTTTACGTGAGACAACCCAGGCTGGCTCAGACACATCAACACACAATATATTACTGGACAAACAATAGCTGACTAGGGTGCTAAGTCTTGAAAGCTATAACAAACACAGCTGCTCAAAATATAATACACAATAAGGATGCCAAATTCAGAGCTCATAAGCTACACTCTAACAATAATATACAACAGAAATTTTGGCTAGACGTGAATATTTCATCTTTTGGAAGAGGAAACAAAAACCTCTACTGACAACAACACGTTTTATAAACTAGTCTGCATTTACTGTTACCGGTCTTAACGTGCGTCACTCAAATCATCACTCAAGTTAGCACGCTCTCGCCTCCGTGAATTTAACGTTCTAAGTCATACACTTTTGATGAATTCCAAAATAAGATAAAGTTCCAAGCATAAAATAGGCACCTGCAGCAAATGAATATCATGTGTCTGGACAGCCGCAACGGATGCATGCAGCAATGCCCCTCTTTACCCTCAACATGGATCCTTTTACAATTTTAAGCTGTAATCAACACTTTTCAGTCGGGGGTCTCCCATTTTTTTAGGCTCGGGTCAACAAATTTTTGTTATTTCTTAATTATTCATTAAGATGAATGGTGCTGATGCCAGATCGCCCCATGTCTAACAGTTTTGGTTCAGGATACTATAACGGAATTTCTTCCATTATTATCATGTACAATGTGACAATCAAATGGCAAACGTCAAGTCAAGAAGCCTAAATCAATAGAATATGGTTGGAAACCGTTAACTACATTAAACAAATTGTGCAGATTCTGCAGCCTACTTCTATTCTGTGTCGGGAAAAAATGTCATTTGGAGGAGAAAAATGCTTTTTGTGATCTAGATGTGAAGATAATCTCCTACTATTGCTAAGTAGCTATCGCTAAATATATAATTTTAATGGCTTTACTTGAGAGCGTTTCAGCTCCAGCAATCTCGAACCGAACTTCTAGTTATGTATTAAATATGAGTAAACAGAAGATTTAAAACCAATTGTTAATCAACATCCTGTACTCAGGGTCAGAAAAAGTAAAATTTCCCGAAAAATTGTAACAATCAATATTAATATTATTTTATTTGTCATTTAAAACCACACTACTACATATTACGACTAGATGCCTGGAAATCAGAAAAACTAGAGATTAAACAGAGAAAGTTTCAGCGAATACCGTCGATTTCGAACGTAAATAATTAGAAGACAATGACACCGAACCTTATGATCAAAGCAGGACAGTAATCTGCGGAAACGTGCTAAAAATGTTCAACTTCTTCGGCCAATGACTTTTGAAAATGAATAGCAATAACTTAAGTGTACATAAAAGAAACGTAAGATCCAGCGCTCTGGAAAGTTCGAGGCTTTTAGGGCGCGATGTAGCGCAAGGACAATTTAGCTGCACTTCAATTGTAAAAAAAAAATATGAACAAACATGGGTACCTAACACCCTAGCAGCGCCCTGAAGCGTTCAGGGTGTTTAGGCTGCAGGACGCGATGTAGCGCAAGGACAATTTTTCTGCACTTCAAACGTGACACAAAAAATATTTTATGAACCAACATGGGAACCTAACACCCTGGCAGCGCCCTGAAGCGCTCAGGGTTTTTAGGCTGCAGGACGCGGTGGCGCGTGAGGAAGGCGATGAGAGCGGCGGCGACCTCGTCAGGAGCGTCCTCGTGAACTGCGTGCCCACACCGCCCCACCACTTGCATCTGGAACTTGCCTGTGACCCAAAAATATAATAGGAACATTTCAGACCCAGACCGTGTTGCTGCTATATCACTCAAGTTTTACCAGGAAATGGGCCAGTTCTGTGCTCAATTTTTAATTTATCAACGATTCACTTGAAGTCTTACTCCACAAATGGTCAACACTGTCATTTGTTTACATCTAAAAAGCGCATATTTCTCTGAATACTACGTATGTGTTTGGCCACGTACGTGGCCAATCTTGCCGCGAGTCTTTTTTGTATGCTCTTATTCCTTTCAAGCTCCACCTTGGAAATGATCAACTTAATATTAGTTTTCATCATTTATCTCAGATTGCTGAGGATATTCACCTTGCATCTGGCCAACAGTCAAGTCAGTATCGAGGCGGTCGACGCCAGCCAGCAGGAGCAGCTTGGGCGGAGAAACGCTCAAGAAGCGCTGGCTGAGGCCTTCGAACCAGCAGGTCCAGTGGTCGGTCGTGGACGCCAGGTTGATGCTCCACTTGTAGCTGCTACCGCCACCCTCGCTGCTGCTAGTGCTGGCACCTCCAAATGACTGTAACAACGGGAAGTATTGGCAATTTGTCCGTAGAATAATAAAATGAATTTACAGTCGACAAGTGCAGCAGCAAAACCGGCTCAACAGTCGTTCATGAGCAAAAATACTTCACACTAAACAATCACTCACAGAAAATAAACCACTTTTCCTAAAGGTGCTTATACACGGGGATAGTATTAGTTGCATGTGCTCCACACTTCAAATATTGTACTAATTTCTCCTTCAGATGCAAGTAGCTGAGAGCATACGTCTGAAGCAAGTAAGGTTGCTCATGTGCCGAGAAGTGAAACCAGTTGGGCTGCAGCAGCCGTAGTGTTCTTTATTCTGCTCAGGGCAAGTGCTTCTATTGTTATAAACTACATATAACTTGTCCCAACGTCGATGGTTCTAAGAAAGTTTATAGAATTTTTTTTCTTCTGTCTCCGTCCTCTTCTTTATCATCTTTCTTGTTCTCGGAGTCTTCCTCCTCCTCCTCTTCTATTTTGTTCTCGTTGTCTACACTCAGGCGCCGGCAAGACAATCGTCGCGCCGAGAATCGGCCTGTAGCGGTGAGCCCCCCTATGCCAGCAGCTAGAAATTATAATATCAATAAGAAATGTACATATAATAATAATTAATTGATAGAGGCTTCGTCAATGATAAAAATACTCATCAAAAATACTTATCATGCCCTGGGCCTAAAACTGTTACACAAAAAAGTGTACTGGCTATCATCATTCAATGACATGATCTGGCTTCATCGATAATACAAAAAAAATTATATATTGTATTGCAGAGCACATCGAATAAGCTATAATGAAATAAAGGTGTGTATACACCACTAAATTATTTAAAAGCTTCATTTAAATTTCATATTGAATAAATAAAGTGCCATTTTTAAAAGTTGAGAACAGAATGTCCATCTTTAGCGTACAATTCGCCTTCAATTAGCAGTGTACTCGGTAACACAAGTTTATGCATGATGGTTTTTCATAATGAAAAAACGTTTGATGAGATGCTAGGATAAAAGTTGGGATTACCGGTATATCCTATATAATTCCAATTTATAAAACATTATACAATTATATAATTATACATAGTAATTCTATAATTATAAACAATAATTATACCTATAACTAAATATAATAATTAAAATTCATATAATACAAGGAATAATTGCATAATTTATTGCCCTGAAGATAGGAAGATTCAAGGCCTAAAAGTCAAGATATTTATGATAAAATTCAGCTAAGTGTCAAGATATAGTGCAGGGCGTGAGGAGATCGATCTATTCCTGTACGACGGTATCTTGAAGTTCATCACCTACTTTGAAACATAATCCCCTCTATTCACTTGGAATTAAATTTACAATAATCTTTCGTGCATTCTCATCATCTAGCGCCAGGATTCACAAAAGAATAGATGAACTAAAATAGAGACAGGTATATATAAAAAAAGACTAATTTGCGCCCATATATATCTGACCATCGCCAGCTGAAGCAGCAGCAGCAGCAGGAGCGTCAGTGTCAGTTTGCTTCTCGTCGGAGTCTGAAGTCGAGCTCAGCAGCTCGGAATTTTTTTGTTGCTGCAATGCTTCGACTTCGTCAGCACCACACACGCCAGTGTTGCAGCTGCTCACACAAGTTTTGAATGAGATTCCTAAATAATACAAAGGTTTGCGAGCTCGTCGTTAATGCAGCTACCTCGCACCGGAATGGATAAGAAGGTTAGTAGAGGTTAGGAACAGTAAAGGTTAGGTTATCTGATAACCTAACCCCACAACTGCTACACACTATGAAGTTATAAAAATGGTAAGATTTCATCAAAAGAATTTAGAGATAAGCACGTTGAGGGTCAATGACTAATGTTGAGTGTAAAAGAGGTCAGATGCTTAGAGCTTGCTTTGATGAATATCAACGAGTTTTGATAATGTTTAAATTAAAAATACTCATCAGTTCAACACGTGTTTTGATGGAGGTTAAAATCTTTCTTTTGATAGTAAAAGAATAAACATGATAGTAAAAGAGTTCTGATGAAGCACAAAGATTTCTGAAGAAGAGCAAAGACATCAGATGAAGACCAAAGAAATCAGATGAAAAACAATGACTTTTGACAAAGAACAACGACTTCTGATGAAGAAGAAAGAGCTAAGATGAAGGTCAAGAAAGACGCCGCGACAATAGCTCACTTGACGACCTGTCCCGGCATGGAGATACGAGCGGCGTCCAGGTTACGAGTTTGTCCAGACCGGTAACTGCAAATAAGTTTTTGTGAACATAAAACCAAAGAGCAAGCTTAGTATTAAAGTAATCAAACTATAACGCATATTACTCCCTCTTTCCCACGTCTTAACACATAAAGGGATGAAATACCAACAAATAAAACATAACAAAAAATCTTAATCCAATATAAAAAATAAAAAGTGCTAGCAAAATCTAAATTCAATGGGATAAGAAAACAGATTTCCTCATGAATATGAAACAAAGGTAAAGTTTCAATGTTATAATGTTAATATTCTATATCTTATGACATTATGCTGTTAGGGAATTAGAATTTAGTATGTTATAATTTTGTATTTTTGTAATTTTAGTTTTCAGTTTAGAAATGCGGAAGTTAGATTTGTAGGCTTTAGTCCGTCCTGGTCAGTCCCGCATGTGAACCCACAGTGTCAAGGTGTGTTTTAACTTTATTTATTTGTTTGTTCATGTGTTTTACATTTTGTGATTATTCCGAGATGTTCTTTATTCTGTTATATTCTGTAAAGTTAGATTTGATTATTCATGAGAAAGTTTGTTCATACTTTGTCTTTTGTTCGTTTATTTGTTACTTAGGTTATTTATTCTTTGTTCTTTTTCTTTAGGAGAGTTTTTGAAACTACAGATTTCAAGAGAGTGGTTTCGGAAGTGTCTTTCATTGCAAGCCTTTGTTGGGGTCCACGTTAAAGTACTATAAGTACGGCTGGACGAACCTGGGTGACCCCGGCAATGCGCATTTATCATAAAAATAAACACAGAGAAGATGTAAATAGATAACAATAGCAATGACAATGGATAATAGCAACCTCCAGAGAACAGCTTCCTGTAGGCTGGCGAAGGAAGAAGGGCGCGCCGCAAGGACGCTGTGCATGGCTGAGAGCGCGGCCAGGGCAGTGCCTTCCACCACGTCAATGACCACCAACCCTGCCACCTGCACCGCTGCACCAACCACACCAATGTTACATTATTAACTAATGTAAATAACTTACAATGAGCTCCCCACCACGTCAATGACCACCAACCCCGCCACCTGTACCGCTGCACCAACCACACCAATGTTTCATTATTAATTAACGTAAATAACCTACAATGGGCTCCCCACCACGTCAATGACCACCAACCCCGCCACCTGCACCGCTGCACCAACCACACCAATGTTTCATAATTAACTACTGTAAATAACCTAAAATGGGCTGCCCACCACGCCATCATCAGCAGCATCTTGGCTACCACAATGCAACACCAAAATGCCATCAAGAACAATCATAGGTAATTTATCAACAAAAATTATGGGAAATTGCCTCCAATGTGCCTACCAGTGCATCTATCACAACCAAATGATTAACTACACAATATTCATGACTAGTATAGCATCTCGATTTTAATCCATAACATACATTCTTTAAAAAGCAATGTAAATCTGTTTTTTGCGCTTTGGAGAATGTAGAAGGAACCTCAGGATTATAGTATCAGCACACAATAGATGTATCACAGAAGTGCTCTTCGAGCTCAGCATGAACTTCATCTACGGTCTTTGGACATAACAATAACGATGACTAACAGAAGTGCTGATTGAATTCAGCATGAACTTCATCTATGGTCTTTGGACATAACAATAACTAACAGAGATGCTGCTCGAACTCAGCATGAACTTCATCTATGGTCTTTGGACATAACAATAATGATGACTAACAGAGGTGCTGCTCGAACTCAGCATGAACTTCATCTATGGTCTTTGGACATAACAATAACGATGACTAACAGAGGTGCTGCTCGAACTCAGCAAGAACTTCATCTACAGTCTTTGGGCATAACAATAACGATGACTAACAGAAGTGCTGATTGAATTCAGCATGAACTTCATCTACAGTCTTTGGACATAACAATAATGATGACTAACCGAGGTGCTGCTCGAACTCAGCATAAACTTCATCTACAGTCTTTGGACATAACAATAACGATGACTAACAGAAGTGCTGATTGAATTAAGCGTAAACTTCATCTACAGTCTTTGGACATAACAATAACGATGACTAACAGAGGTGCTGCTCAAACTCAGCATGAACTGCCACGGCGCCACCCATGCTGTGACCCACGAGCACCACGGGCACGTTTAGTGTCGGTCCCATAACGGCGTCTAGCACACGGCCAACGTCCCTGGAGGTAAACAAGCCCGTCACCTTATGAATTTGGTAGCAGAATACATTTAGAGCTGCAACTGTTATTGCTGTTACTGTCTTCAGTAGTAACATGTACAACAGCAAAATTGTAAGTTACTGTAATATGTAAAGTAGGTACGTGATTACGGTAATTACATTACATGTAATTACAGCAAAATTACATGTTATTGTTAATTACATGTCATTACCTCTTTCACATAGAAAAAAATCGTCATATATTGAACTTTGAGAGGCAAATCCCTGCTGTCCAATAAATAGGTATATACGTACTAATCAAGCACCTAATAAACAGCCCTATTTTAATTTATGCATTCTAATTAACAAACATTTGTGCTCATACTGATAAAAATACAACACACCAAATTGCCTTCATTTGAAAAAAAAAAACAGTTATTCATTTGAAAATACTAAAACGTCAATAATTAACAATAATTCTTTCCTCAAGACAAGATCTTCAACAAAATTATATATATTGGTACTTGTTTTTAATTTTCAATCTAATAATGCATTAAAATAAATGTAATTTTATCAAATACCTATACTAGATGTAAATGTTTAAAGGTGTCCTAGATGAATGAGTCAAGTTAGATTGGGAAATTTTTGGCATGCTGCTACTCATTGTTTGATAATTATATGTTTGACAATTATTGTGCTAAAAGGATAAGATGAGCTTTACTTTTAAAGTTCCTAAAACTTTATTTGCTTTTATCATCTTCGGTAGATAAAATTGATGTCAGTTATGTAATTTTTGCCCACTGATTAGGTAATATCATCAATACCATTAAATAGTCTTATATATTAAATTCATTATCTGAAGCAAGATTTATACAATATTATTAATTTCCAGAACAAAATTTCCACATTGTTATGAAGTCAATGGCAGGAGATGCTCATACCTAGCAAGCGTTGAGGCGGCCATGTCACTGGGCTGTTGAGTCTTGGTGCTGCCGTGACCACGTTGGTCGAACGCCAACACCTGACACTGTGGCACCTCACTGCACACCTCATCCTGTGCATCATAACTCTCATAAACTTTAGTAACTCTCAAAGCAAACTGACTTCATAAACTCTCGTAACAAATTAACTTAATTAACTCTCATAACAAACATTAGTAACTCACATAGCAAACATTAGTAACTCTCATAAAAAACATTAGTAACTTGCATAACCAACCTCAGTAGTAACTCACATAACAAAGCATAGTAACTTGTAATTCATAGAAATAAATATATTGTATAATACTTCTTACTATCTTGAAATGGTTTCTGAAATTTTAATTTCTGGATATTTCAATGCTTGCCCACTAAAGGGTTAAACTAACCACAACAAGAGACCATGTGAGAGCTGAGTAGCCTCCTCCATGCAAGAGCAACAGTAGAGGTCCTTCTGTGCCCCGACGATACACGCGAAAAACATCACTGCCTTCACCATCAACACATGAAATCTGCACATAGTGAGCACAATATATACTTCCACTAGACAAGTGTTGCAAGACGTTTTACCTTGATAATCATTTTCTTATGTCTTGGCAATGTAAAAATTACAATATTCACTATTTTTTATCAACCCTTTTAACCATTAAAAAATATGTGTTAATACATACAAGTATATGAAACTTATAAATTCTTGATTTCCTAAAAAGCAATTTTCTATAGATGTTTCCTAGTTTTTTTCACTATTAATCTGGCAGACAGACTCTTCATGAAATATACTTAAGAACTGAAGGAGCACTTGCAGGTCTTTGAAACAGTTGAGCAACTTTTTTTAATAAATTATGTAATTGGTGATGAGCTTAATTACAATTGGCAGCCAATGTTTTTCATAGGCTTCAAAGCTTAGCAGACCTAAAAAGGCTACAAACAATACTTCATTCATAGTTTAACATCATTTTGAAAGCCTATCCTCAAACACAAATACAAAAAGCCAAATAAATTAAATTTAGTTAGGTAGTGACCTCAACATCTTCACAAGAGCTCCAATACTGCCTCCATGATACAGGGCTGCTGTCAACCTCAGCCAAGCTTCTCCGGCCAACAGAGCCAACACTGCCTCGGTGTGTGGTGGCTCGACTCCCACTGAGAAATAGGAATAGAATTGTTACAATAACTTCTAAAAGTCAATGTGATATTCAGTAATATTAGCTCATAATTTTGTATCCATGTAAGTCAACATGAAAGATAATGCTTTACAACAAATATGGCCCTTGTCAAGTGATTGATAAAGACAATGCTATACATTTGACATATCATATAAAAGGGTACAAAATGATACAGAGTGCAGATGCTGTGTGAATTAATTGATTATTTATTACAGCTGCATTCACACAAGTATTTATATACGTTCATTTAAAGTTTGAAATAAATAGATAGAATATTTGAAAAGATGTATAGAAACTCATCATATTATATTTATTAAAGCTACATAACATTATTTTATAACTTGTATAGCAGAAACTATTCAGAGAAAAAAAAATAATTTCTAAAGATCTAAACTGCTCCTCAGAAATTCTTGCAGTCTTGCAGACCCAGGATTGGAATTTTCTTGCTTATTAGTGAAAGCTTGCCGCTCAAAAGTTACAAATTTTCAATTCATTTGGAATCCTGCACAATGATAAGGCAATTTTGTGAACAATAAATAGGAGAAAATTTGTCCAGCAGGAATTTCTACCAAATACAAAAAAAAATTAAAGGAAAGCTCAAATCACAACCCAAAAAGTTAGATATATTATACTATTCCACTCCAGCTCACAGTCAACAAATCATTTCAGTCAAATTTATATACACAAAAAATTATAATAAGCTACATGCCACTGTGCAGAGTCTGCAGAGAGTGGATGAATATTGCAAGTTTTAGTTTAGTTTAGTGGCCAAATGATTACTAGCGCTTCAGCTATTAAGCTATCTCACACCGAAAGTCAAGATGAACATCACCATAGAGGTGGAAGGTCTCAATTATTCATCACCCACAAGGGGCGGAAGGTCTCAGATGTCCAGCCCGCTGAAGCTGGCTCGAAAGAAGCAGCGTTAGCATCTCAAAGAGACGAAGTGACAAGGAGGGACAGGTGAAAAGCNAATTCATTGTTTTTTATGTAAAAGAATGTTTTTCAAGTAAAAGAAATGCAATACTTGATTTTTGGAAATACGATGTTAAAATTAATGATCCGTATTAGAATTCAATAGACGTTACGATTTCAGAATTATCTTCAAAAAGTTTGTTGTCGTTCGTTTGATCAGAAGTTTTTGTTCGTTTGATCAGAAGTTTTCATTCGTTTGATCAGAAGTTTTCGTTCGTTTGATCAGAAGTTTTCGTTTGTTTGATCAGAAATTTTCGTTCGTTTGATCAGAAACAGAAAAAGGTTTTGTTCATTTGATCAGAAACAACATAATTATTCATTCTCTTGCACTAAGTATATGAATGATTAGTTAATTTGTATACAATCGTATACAAATTAAGTATATGATTGATCAACCCGCTAGATTATGCACTGGGAGCGGGAAAGAAGCTAGGTACCTATTTAATTCAGTAGCACGTTAGCCGACGTGATATGTAGTTCTGCTCGTCTGAACTCTGAATTGCGTGTTTAGTGTGCATGATGGAAAACTCTGCTTTGCAGTGTAGTTATAATTACTTAATGAAGTTTAGTTCATTGCGGTGAACTTAAGAGACAAATTTTCAACTAACTAATACTTTTTTATAAGTCTAATTTTAATTGTTGAGTGAAAGGTGCAGGTTTACAACTTCCAAGTGATTAGGTACTTTATAGAAACTGAGCAAGTTAGCGTATGTGTTTTAAGTCTTTAAGAAGTTCATTTTTTGCCTCAAATAATGATGTTGGATAGAAAAAGTGGTCTTGGTGGATCGAAATAATATATGAACCTCCGAAATTAGAATTCCATCCTGGAACTTCCCGCCAAAAAAATGTAAACATCAAGCTTACAATTACGTAGTTGTGGTCACATTAGAGCGGTCAGACTGCATTATCACATGTTCAGTTGACACTTGCTGTGCAATCAGACTGTTTTTAGGGTAAAATTAGTTATTTGGGGTAACACGTGCATGGCTTTTCATTAAAAAATTACCCGGCGATGCATCTTAAAATTACCCAGCGTCGTCGGGCCGGCGATGCTTAGGGCTTAAAAACCCATATATTGGCGATGCTGCATCCACCCTCTGTACCCTGGGCTACATGCTACTGCAGTATAGCGCTACTGCATACTGCCTGCGCCGTGGCTGCGCGGGCTGCACCTATGTCTTAGATGTCTATGTGTCACTATGTCAATGACTCACTCACTCAATGGCACAAGTCACCACTCAGCACTCACCAATCAAAACTTGGTAGTCAGCAACAGCCTATTGCACATTTGCACTTAGCTAACTTGCTGTTGAGGTGGTGTAACGCGGTGGTAGGGTTGATTTTTCGATACGTTTTCATATATTAACATGAGAATATATTAACTATACAGAATTCCACACTGGCTTAAAAACCCATAGGCCTATATTGGTGATGCTGCATCCACCCTCTGCACCCTGGGGCCTGGGCTACATGCTACTGCAGTATAGCGCTACTGCGTACTGCCTGCGCGGGCTGCACCTATGTCTATGTCAATGGCACAAGTCACCTGTCACCACTCAGCACTCAAAACTTGGTAGTCACCAACAGCCTATTGCACATTTGCACTTAGCTAACTTGCTGGTTGTCAATAAAGAACATAAAATACTAATCAGAATTACAAATTTCAAAGGTCATAAAAGTTATAATACAGTGGCAAACCAGAGATTTTTTAGAATCAGTTCATTTTTAATTTCCTCATTTACCTAAGATTTAAACCAATTTCTTATGTATGATAATGCTGGTATCCAGGATACTTTNATAGTAAACCATACTTACCCAAGTGGAAGCTTTGGCCGCAGACTCAGAGGGGTTGCAAAATTTATTGAATCCATTTCAGGTGACGGTGAATACCTATATTATACTATATAAAAAAATTAAAACAAGCAGTTATGTTGGATAGGCTACTATCAATATCATTAGCACTTAGCAAAGCGCGGGGTACTTCACAAGTTCACAATGTTCACATTTACTTCTCTTCCACTTTAAATGTGGCCAAATGGTTTTTTCAAAGCGAAAAAGTATCAAGTGGCACAGCAGATTGTGATGCGTGAGGCTGTTCTAACATTTTAAACAGACAAGTGAGACAACACTGAACACTCAACACAAAGTCAACAGCAGGTTTTTCAGTCCTAATCGTATTCGTAGTCACTAGTCTATGTACATCAGCGACGTGTCTTTTTCGCTTTTAAACATCTAAAGATCCTTTACGTAATGTTGAATCTTCTACTTAATAACGCATAAATTCAAGCAAAGAGTTCAAGTTTATTCAAAACATTGCGTCATAACTACCGCCTCCGCGTCGATGTTCCGAACAAACGTCAACATGAATCTGATGTTCAGTGTTGCCAGGTTTTTTCTCTGCGAGAATACCAGATTGCCTAGCTCAAAATACCAGAAATTCTATAGTTCGAAAACTGACTAATACCTCCAAATTTAATTAAACTATTCGTCAGAAACGTTGGTTATGAAAAGAAAATAATATAGATCTCAGTACTCACTGCAGTGACTGACAGAGAGCGCATTTTCTCGTCGAAGGAAACGTAGTCACGGACGGATAGACGGACGGACAGACGGACATGGTGAGCGCAATAGTGCATTTTTTCATAAATGAGAAAATGCGCTAAAAAGTATTTTATGTACTGTGCATTTATCAGTATGACACTTCTTCCCCTTCGCTCTACATGAGCAAGCCACGGAAACAGGTCATCTTCCATTTTCATACATGCTTGCAGGTCATCTTCCATTTTCATACATGCTTACAGGTCATCTTCCATTTTCATACATGCTTGCATATTGCATTAATCTAACCTTTCGGGTTTGATCACTTGTTACGGCTGAGCAGATAGCTTTTGGTCCGAATAAGGGACTGCAGTACCTTAGTTGAAATTTTATTTCGTTACTTGTTTTTCACATATATAGGTCATAATAGGTGACTTGTGAAAACATTCACTCAACGAATGCATTGGAGACCTGGTCAAAGTAGACACGTGGTGCAGTAGGCAGCCAGTTCTATGAATGGATGATGATTTTCAAGATCAGTGAAACATTGTATGGCACCCCCGAATTCAAGTGGCACTCTATAATTCAAACCACCAAACTAAAATGGTGGAGCTTGCGTCGCAGATATCGGTTCGACAACCTCACCCGTCCTAGGCCATACCGTTACTGATCAGTAATCAATCAACTAATCAAGGATCATCACTCTCGTGTTCATATTGCACTAAGCACTTTTTGTTAAATGTTAACAATTAGATTGGGGTTATTTCATCAAGCGGTAAACTTGCGGTTCCAAAAATGGCGGGAAAGCTCTAATCGCGCAACTCTGAAGGCAATCTATATAATACACGCTTACGCTGGAGGAAGTTCAAACTTCAGAGGTGGAACTTAATGCAGTAAGTCAGAAAATGCCAGAAAATTCCCAGATTTAGGCATATATACCAATATTCATACCAGACACCTTCTGAAAATACCAGATTTGTGAAATCTGGAATAGAAATATACCATCTGGCAACGCTGCTGATGTTTCATTCAACACCTGATGGCAGTGTTGCTAACGGTGGTGGTATCTTTACCTCTAAAAATGAATATCGTCGGAAGTTGTATTCTGTCGCCTCTCAATATTGAAATGAAATTTATGTGTTGCAGATCCTATTCAAAATTGATTGCTCTACTTTATTGGATCATACGTTTGCACAACAGATCAGACGTTTTTCTTTTTCTATGTACAACATCACCAGGGGAATTGCAACAGAATAATACTATAACAACGTATATTTTTTACAAGGTATTCTGTCTGAATGCCATTAGGCATGATTTATAACACAATCAACGAAACTATTTCTTCAAAGTTGAGGATGAGATTAAAAAACCGGTATTTTTCGATGAAAGTAATTATAAATAATACAGCCAGTGCCACATGATTTCCTAAAACCTCAAATCACCTCATAACTTATTCCGCTTCCGATAAGTAGACACGCTTGCAATTGTAGTGTGTAAACAAAGCAGTTTATGAAATTTACAGTAACAATAGAGCAACATGAACCTTTTTATAATCGCTGGTACATAAGCGAATGGCTTATTGTTATATAATATTAAAATGTTGTTGTTCATGTTGTTGAAGCAGGTCGTCTTCGTAGTTGCGGTTACCAAAGTATAGTAAAGAATAGTGGTATAGTAGTATCGGCGCTGAAGAAATTAGCCCATAGCCTGTTGCCGCTATATTGTGCTCAATGTTCACAGGAGGTCTTAAACCGGCCTTTTGACCAAATATTTTCAAAATTGACGTTGGTTGAAATTAACAGTGAACTTTTACCAGGTCTGTATGGTACAAGGCATTGCAAGTCTGAACATCTACCGCTGCATGACTTTGTCTAATCAGTTAATATGAATTGCGATTCGTTTTCCTTCCTTTATTTTCTTTAATCAAAATGCGAAGGGCTAACGCATTGAATTTTTTTCTTCCAGGGAGTCGTTGCTCTGCAGTCGGTAGTCGGTACTTGTGTTCCGCGGTTACTTCGGTAGCTGGTGGCAGTCGTGTAGCTGGTGGCAGTCGTGTTCCATCTCTCACTGTAGATGGATGTATAAAGTGTCGCACAATGTTTCCCGGATGTCCAGATATTTTTAATAATCAACAGGACCTTTCTTTTCGACAAACTGATTATGTTGTAATTGTGTGGCATATTTCTGTACTTGCAGCACCAGTTTGCTGCACTGAATTGATTTCACACGAAATATCGAAGTATTATTTCATTTGTTTGCTTCCAATTGCCGCTCAAATGTTACCGCAGATCCCATTAATCGATAATTTACGGAAATTTTTAAAGTCAGATATCAAATATCCCATGCATAATATTTTAAACAAAGAATGGCTGACCATTAATTTTATTTTTTTTTTGCCAAAATGTGCAAAATATTTGCCAAGTGACCAAAAATCGAAATTTTCTTTTTGAATCATTGATGCTCCAGGGGCTTCAAGGCTGAGAAGAGCCCTTGAATTTTGCGACGAGCGAATGAAGTTTTCCATTTCATAAGAAAGAAATTAAAAACTGTTTCTTCTTGTTTTTGCAATACGAGTATTCCTGCAGATTGAAGCGCATCGATGTCATAGAACTGAAGTTAACAGAAGTGAAGGAAGCATGAAAAAATTATTTTTATTAAAAACATTCCAGTTCCAGGTTGCGCGACCAAATAGCACGGCTGGAATTCGGTCTCAAGGAAGCAATAGCTGTCACCTTATACTTTTATACCACCTCAGAAATCTCACATGTGACGTTCGCAGCTCGTGCAATTATACGTTTATATAAATGCAAACGCGACTAATTGATAACGGTGAAATATTTCGTGAAAGACATATAGAATTAAATCTAGTTTATGTTTTTGTTTTAATCTTTTTTGTTATCTTCAATGTAAGTTAAGTGGAACATACGTTATATATGGCACAATGCCTTGCACTCACTCAACTCACGCTTCATCTGTTGCGCGAAAAGTTTCCACGCAATAAATTCTGTTCAGAACCCGATCCAGCTGCCATTAAAACCCATTATATTCGATATTTATTCATAATTTCCCGTGAGTTCCCTATGTTTACATTGAGCGAATAGTTCGTGTTTGTCATAGGAAGCGCATAAAATATGTACCAGACCATAAATAATTTAAATAACATTCAGCAACCCGGTGTCTTTAGATGATATTTCAGCTACTCAATTCAAAGCAAGCACGAGTCTTGCGTGGTGTTGCGTAGTTAAGGAAGTAACGCGACGCTAGGATTTTTTATTTTGTTTTGTTTTGCTTGGTCTATACTCTATATCATTGCGTTTACGTTAGTCAATTTTATCAGGAATTTCTAGATTCCAACTATTTATTAATTAGTTTTTTAGAATAAAGGCAGAAAAAAATAAATGTGGCGCAGTATTCCAGCAAATACATGAGCGCACTTGAAAATGGAGCAATTGGCTTAGACCTTCAATGAGTTAAATTACCATTGGCGCCTATTCTAGTACATTTTTATTATAATATTTTCGGTTAGAAAGACTGGCCGGAAATAGTGAAAGAAAAGTTTTTAAGAAGGGAAAATTAATCGATAACAGACTTGACCTTTAATCCACAAGGTGGCAACACCGTCACTGAACTGGCATTACCAGCGCACTTGACTGTGGCAGCAAGTGAATGACTAGCAGGACAGGCCTTATCTTGATTGACATAAACCTAATGACTAGCCGGACTTTCTCCTTCTAAAAAATTACTAGCAGGAGCAAAATATGAATGACTAGCCGGACTTTCCCCATCTAAAAAATTACTAACAGGAGCAAAATATGAATGACTAGCCGGACTTTCCCCTTCTAAAAAATTACTCGCAGGAGCAAAATATGAATGACTATTTACTAACAGGAGCAAAATATAAATGAGTAGCCGGACTTTCCTCTTCTAAAAAATTACTAACAGGAGCAAAATATAAATGAGTAGCCGGACTTTCTCCTTCTAAAAAATTACTAGCAGGAGCAAAAAATGAATGACTAGCAGCAGTTGCCCTCTTTATAGTGGCATATAGAGCATAGAGTGGGCAGTTCCTGCCCTCTCCCGAGTAGATCTGAGGGGACATGATGTAGCAGCAGCTCATGTGCAGCGGCGCCGCATGACTGCAAATTGAGGCCGCTGCGCCCGCCTCTGCTTCGGCTTGCCGACGATCTCTGAAGTCACCGCCCTTCCGTTCCTCTGTCATGGTGCAGTGTACTGGAGTCCTGGTGCAGTGTCCTGGAGTCCTGGTGCAGTGTACTGGAGTCCTGGTGCAGTGTACTGGAGTCCTGGTGCAGTGTACTGGAGTCCTGGTGCAGTGTACTGGAGTCCTGGTGCAGTGTACTGGAGTCCTGGTGCAGTGTACTGGAATACTGGTGCAGTGTACTGGAGTCCTGGTGCAGTGTACTGGAGTCCTGGTGTAGTTTACTGGAGTCCTGGTGCAGTGTACTGGAATCCTGGTGCAGTGGTCAAGTGGAGTGATGCACTGTTCTGCTATTATGCTGAATTAAAGGCTTACATCAGTAGTCTGGTACAAAGCAATAACGACCAGACGCATCGGCCGCGATATGGTCTTGCGTTTTATTGTACAGCTTGCATTGGGGTATCAGAATAACCTTTAACTTGTAAGCAGCATAGAGCTTGACAGCCGGCCGTGAAAGAAATTTACAACTTACAACGAGGTATCTGTATTATTGCTTATCGAACACGCTGTAGCTGTTGAAGCGTCTTTACCGGCTGGATGCACCTCTCTCCTTCAATTATTTCTTTCGAGATTGCAACTGAACTCAATAGCCTACA